TCGGAAGTCAAATTCTTTCAAGAGTAAAAGAGCCGCGAAAAAATCCGCAATAATTATGCATCAACCTAATAGTAAGGTCTATTATGTGCTGAGCATGCGTAAGCTTAGCGTAAACGTCTACAGTGGGCGGAGCGCGAATATAATGTGAAGGATGCTTTCAAGGAAACTGGTAACACTGTTCAGAAACTTTTAAGAATGCGGAAAGTGAGTAGAAGCTATCAAAGAAATGCCGTCAGCTTCGTAAAGTAAACGGAGCTTGCTTTGTGATGGGTCTCCGCCTGCAATGGGCGGAGACAAAATCAAAATTCCACTTTGTGTTCAGAAGCTTTCTAGAATTTGAGGAAACTAAATACAGACTGTTGAGAGGAGAGTGGTCAAGCTTTCCCAGGGGCAGAGCGGGCCCTGAACTGGGCGGAACTAAGACCAAAAAATTCATAACTGTTTAAAGGCACAGTTCGCGATAAAAATGGCTCACGAAATTTCTCTAGAATAAATCTGTGGCCTTTTCGTATACCGTAAGTGGCGCTGTCCGATTGGAATACGGCCTAGATAGGGAGGTAAAAAGACTCAGATTGTCTCATTTGTATGCGCGGACGAGTTTCAACGGTACAGTAGAGGCTGCACCACTCACGAGGGAACCCATGTAGAAAATCTAAACAAAGTGCTATGACCCATAACGACCTTGGAAGGTATTTGCCTTAGAGTCTATATGTCTGGAGGTTCCGGACCGAAGTGGTGACTTGTTTTAGGTGAAAAACCGCCAGACTCTCGTGTTGTTGACGAAAACTCTGAAGCGAAACCGACAATGCGACTTGATTTACCTCTCAAGAAAGGACTGACACCAAAGCGGGATCCAGCAGAGCGTCAGAAGAAGAAAGAGAGTGAGTAGAGACGAAGTGTCGTAAGAGGTAATTATATTCCAACCGCAGTCTATTCCTTCTAGACCAACCATCACGTCCCATCAAAAAACCGTCAGAGCGTCTACTAGCGGCTGTTGCAGCGGCTACTGCTTCAAGTAGAGCGGCTTCTTCGTCAGTCGACTTTACGTCGAAGCAGTCGAAAAAGTACTCGGAACGGAACCGACGCAAAGGTCTTTTTAGCGATGCGAATTGATAACAGGCAAGAATTTGCGGGTAAGCAGTCCTGTATTTTGTAGATGAACAAGCGAAAGATGAAAAAGAACCTCTGACGTCGTCAAACACAAGTTGATTACGAGGAAGCAATCGTGGTATATGTCTGTTACGTTGGAGCACGATTAAACGGCGGTTACACCGCCCGCAGCGATTTGCGGGTATGATTTTAATCCTGCTACTTGGCAGTTCCAAATGCGGTGGAGTTTTCATTGGAGAATTATTATTTCCGTTGTCTTTTATTCAAGTGTCTTGATTTCTCTGGTTGATATTTCTATATCTATTTATCTGTTTTCTTTGGAATTATCACTCATTGTCGCGGGCAAAAGTTCAGAAACTATTCTTAGCAATTTTGCTTCCTCTTAAAAATCCATGCAGTTTACTTGCAGTATTGGAGCTTATCAATCTCGCAGCTATA